ATTCGTTTTAAGCATTTCTCACTGTTTTTATGTGATTAATATTATCTAAAGTGATATAAAACATTTTCACATGCAGTTCTTGTGTACCTTTATGATTTGTGTGTTTTTATATAACAGTTCTTGATCACTGAGTGAAATATGACTTAGTGTGACTGTGATAGCAACAAGTGATCTGCTGTGTTGAGGGTACAACAGGAAAATGTCACCTCTTGTTTATGATCTGGCACTGCTTCACAAATACACTGCATTCGGGGGAAAAAACGGATAAATTAAGGCAGCCGCGATAGCTTATTTCATCTTTGAATCTTGCCAACCTCAAACCCAAAATCCACAGCTACTAGAGAAGCTCGTAATTCCACACCCTGGTCACGCTTTTTGAATTCAAAGCATCCTGTTATAGCTGCTCGGAAACCCACTGAGATTTCTCTGTCTCTCCTGGTTAGATTGGCAGAAATACTGGAATTTTTAATGTTAGAAACCTGTGGCTGTGACCTGAATATGAGATCTAAGAAGCACAAGCTTTGAAATGTTGATCAAGAATATTCTACTTAAGACCTGATGACACAACTGGTGTAGATACTTTTACATAACCACGTTTCATTTCATGGACATAACTTGAGTTCCACGGGTGATTTGATATTCTGCGTGTTTGTCTGTAGTGCATGAATGACTACCTGCTGGTGTAAATATTAAAATAAATGTTTGATTTGACTGGCAGGTTCCTGTTTCGCAGTGGTAATCAGGAGCATCCAGGGGACAAAATCGAGAACACCACAGTGGAAATACTGCCTGTCTTGGTAGGGATACACACACACACATGCACACACACACTCACAGTATGTCAACCTTCTGTGGTGTGATGTGGAAACGGCTCTGATTAGATTACATTGAGTGGTTGCTTTTAGGAACGAAGCGCATTGATTATTGACAGGAATGTGAGCCTGACAGAATCGTTTGCTCTGCTAGAGGCGATCCATTCTGACTTTGTGATCCACACCTCCAGTGTAGGCACAGAATCTAGTATCTGTTCTGCTAAGGGCTGCTCAAATGACAAAATCATTAAGATTTGAATTTGTTTCTAACATTTTTATTGTACTGACCATCTTTTACTGTGTTGGTATGTCAGGAAAGTCGACTACAGACCAAAGAGAAGTACAAACGAACGGAGGACCGCTTTTACAGAATTGGTATGTGAGTCTATCATCACCATGTGTGTGTTAGTGCATACAAACACTGACACCGAGATCAGATTACACACACACGTCAATGGTGCCTAGAGTTACAGGCAGTGAACACAATGTGTGAAATGTTTTAATCTGAACTTTTCTGCTCTTTCTTTTGTCACTTTCTGCTTTTTATTCTTTTGTTTTGCTGAAATATTTTGTATTTTTTGTGTTCTTGTGTTTTTATTTAATGCTTCTTATTAATAATATAAAACCTCCTCCCAGGCCCCTAATTTAACCACATTTTAATTCACTAGATCCAATTTTATGTGGATCTGCACTAAATTACACACACTCATAAATATCAGTTCATCCCCTGATCTTGATCTGCACCACTTTTATGGGTCCCTGAGCCATACCACATCCTTCCACCACATTTCATGGAAATCCGTTGAGACGTTTTTGCATAATCTAACTGACTAACTAACAAACGCAGATGAAAAATAAACTCTTGTTGCAGGTAACAACAAACAAAAACAGATAATGGTCATGAGCTGAAATGTATTTGTTGAATAAATTCCAGTAAATCAGTGAAGATTTTTTTTATCACTAAGTTTTGGCAATTTGCTCGCTGTGAATGATTTATAGTACCTTATATTTGCTTTTCTCTCTGTGGTCTTTTCTTGTTAACACGCAGGTCAGTTTGAGAGGGGTGTGGCAGAAGGGGCTGTAGATCCTTCCTTCAATCCTATCCTGGCACTGCGACTCTCAGTTCTCAAAGACTCTGCTGTGTGGGCCATCCTCAGTGAAGTAAGCCAATCAAACAACTACTTAATAAATAATACCACTTGCTCCAGATGCACTGCTTACTTGTTTTGTGTTACTGACACGTGTGACGCTCTGCTCACTTCCTGCAGATACATATAAAGAGGATAACTGGCTGACTGTTCTGGAGGGTGAACATGAATCATGGCCCATGGGGGACCAAAATCTCCTAGACTGCTTACGCAGGGCCTCTGGCACCTAGCAACCAGCAGTGAACTCATTAGAGCCCGCTAGAGTTGCTCGTCTGAGGAAATCCACCTCTCTGTCCCATCCCCCACTCTCCCTAATGTACCTTGTTTTTTTGCTTCTCATCGATCGATTTCCCCCTTTGTTTCTTTCTGCATCTCTCCCTCACTCTCGTGCTTTTAATTCATGTGTGAGATTGTGAAAACTACTGTCTGAAGAACAACAGCAGAGTGCGTGAAGACGTCTGTACCCAGCTCTGAAAGATACTGTGTTGCTCAGAAGCTTTGAATACGACCAGAGAACAAACGGTGGAGGAATGATCACACGTGAGGAGAACCAGTCAGCCGGCCACCAGTGAAGATGCTGCCAAATCCCTTCACCGTTACTCAATGCTGCCACCTGTGGGCGAGCTGGGGCATTGCACTGTCACTAGCGCCCCAGCAAAGCCCACTGTGATCAAGAATGTTGTCATCACTAATGGCCAGTTGTTCTCGACGCTCTAGATCGACACCAGCCCAGAAAAAATGGTTTTCCTCGCTCGTTGAGTGTTGTAAGTGTCACTCAAACACTTCACTGGTCCTGAAACACAAACTCAGGATGAGCTTTTCCAAACTGTTCCCAAATCCGGCCTGCAGCCAGTTGGTGACACCTTTGACCTTTGGCTAGATTTGTGGTAATAACATAACCCAGTAATCAAGAAAATAAGACCATGACACCATATCTCTCTCACCTACTGTCTGACGGGCTGTGAACGACCTCAGTGTCCACTTATAGTGTACCAATCAGACATTGCCTTCGCGTAATTTTTCGAAAGAATATATTGATATATTATTACAGCTTTGACGATCTATGAAGGGGACTTAATTTATTTGAAATAAATCTTTAATTTGTACAAGAGGTAAAATATATTTTTATTCTATTAAGAGATGTTTATCCTAGTTCGGAATCAGTTTCATTTGTGTATTGTTGTTTTTTTCTAAATTGCTATTGTACATGTTATTTTCATGGTTATAGCTTCTTGTGAAATTGCTGTGTCGGCAAGTTACAAGTAGGTCAGTTCAGTTGGATCCTTTTTGGTCACTTTTCACAGTGAAATGTTACAGGTGAGATCATTCATCTTCTCAGTTTAAAAGCTTAACATTAGAAGAGTTGTGAAAAGATTCTTATGAAGTTGTCGTGAGTCAAAATTAGAAAAATGTGCCTTATATCCAGCTTCGTTAAAATTGTCTCAGCAACATGATTCCAGTCTGTTCCCTCTGAGTTATGCCTACACTTTGCTGGATATACTAATATTTTAAAAGTGACACATACAGTCCAATTAGTGATTGTCAATAATGATATCTGTGTTATGCTGACTAAGTGGTATTTTATTGTATCAGGTTACCATCTGAAACAGTGTGATTTGCACTGCTTTTTCACTTTTATGTTACCATCACACCCCTCATCATTGTACTCAAATTCCCATCTTCACATGTGTGATGCTTTTTTCTCTGACTCCTCTGAACCCACTTCATAATTAATTTTGTCCAATCACACATCTAGGTTTTTGATTGGACAGAATATCATGACTACTGACATTGCAGAGTGGAGTGCGTCTTTGTGGTTTGATTTAGCTGAAGTTGTGTCGTTCCTTCACTGATTGTAAATCTATAAGAACGGCAACAAACAACTTCTCTTCTCTCACTCACACTCTCTTGCTTCACTCAGTAGTTTATTTAAAATCACTTAGAAACTTTTGTGTTTGTGTTTGGCCAATGTTCTGAGTATAAGCTATTTTTTAAAGTGAAACTTAGCTCATTTTACATGTGGGTGGTTTACTAAAGGGGTTGTGAAGTGCCTTTTGGTGGAAATCGATGCGACAGTGGTGACTAAAAGTGCATGTTCACATGCATGGTCATTATTTGTCATTTATAAATGGTGTTTTTTCTTTTTGTTTGTTTTGGGGTCGTTGTTTTTTTTGGATCAGAGCAGGCTCCCACACCTAATCAAACTACCTAAGCTAAAGCTGGACTCACTTCCTGATCGGATTCTGTTACTTGGAGTAGATGGGGATCACTGCACATAAATGTGTTGATTTAAAAGGGTGAAGACTTTCAGTTCTGCTAACAGGTTCTGCTTCTGCCCCTTTACCCTGCATCCACATACAGTCTTGACACTGAAAGCATGAAGACAGCATGAATGGTTATGTGATCCTCTACTGTATTTGTGGAAAGTGGACAGGAGGCAGCAAAAAAACAATCTTCCCAAACGCAACAACCCTGCACACCCATCAGTTCATGTGCCTTCATCATGAACAGTACACGTGAATGCCTACGTCTGATGATTTTATCATTTTTCATGGACATCTTTGAAATAAACGATAAAAATTCTTAGAAGTCACGGCCATTTTTTTTTATGTGGGTGTAGAGATTTGGTTTCTTCTTTCATCACTCATACCATCTGCATCACCAGGTCTGAAGCAGAAGAAATGCTTTTTGTCATTGTTATGAATTAATTTGTCAACATTGTAATATGACTGCAAATTTTACAGTTTTTACTCACTATGATGGAAAATTAGGGCCAATTAAAGGGGTTAAAACTTGTGATTTCGAGATAAGAAATAATTGTTATCTTAACCCTCATATCTTTCATCAAATTACTTTATTCTCATAATATAACTTTTTTCTCATTGAATTAAAACTTCATTCTTGTAATATTAAAAAAGAGATTCTGATTAAATGACATAATTGTAATTTTCTCAATTTAATTACAACTTTATTCTCATAATATCAAATAGTTTTTTCCCTCTTCAATAAGGCTCTAATGCTTCAGCGTACACATGGAAAACTCCCAGCATGCCCTTCTTCACACCACGTACTTCCGTGTACCCATCATGCCGTTTCAGAAACATGGCGGCTGAGTTTTCATAACATCGGTACCTCTGCGGTCATTCAGCGGATTGTCGCACTTCACAGAAGCTCAACGAGACGAGAGTTGTGTCGAAGTGGATTTTCCACGATGCCGAAGTATTACGAAGATAAAGAGACGGATGACAGAGCCTGTGCTGGAATCAGAGAGGACTTTAGAGAATGTCTCCTTCAACACGACTGCGTAATAAAGGTGCGTAGTTTAAATGTCGTCTGATCAAATACAGCTGCAGATGAACTGGTTTCATATTAATGCTGAGCCAGCGAGCTACATATCGAAAATCAATATGTGTATCTGCTGTTTACATGACGTCAAAGCCCCAGTTGCTGTAACACCATAACAAACCAGATCCTCATCCACTGATGAACACACTGTGGGAGGAGACAGAGCTAACGAGCTAAGATAGCTCCACGTCTTTCTATTCCCTTAGTCTCTGTCCCACCAAAGTCCATTCAGAAAATTAGCGATTTAACATTGTGTGATGACTGATGGCACAGCTCACATCCATCGTGTTGGTTGAGAGTTAGCAGTTAGCTAAGATGCTGCTCTGCCACCATGGTGGACGGTGGCTTTAACTAATGTTGAAGGTAAAACTACTGTCTCCTTGTTGATGAATAAATATAAAAAGTTTATATTATGTAGTTCATGTTATGCGCGGGGGATGATGCATCGCAGGACCTAAATATTTTCTTCCAGTTTATGGTCCTTTTTAACTGGTAAACCATGAATATTGCATTTTATTTTGAAATTTAGGCCTCCAAATTCCTACACTGAACCTTCACAGGTAAATAAAGATGGATGACATGTCAGCTCCCCAAAGTGAAGCCAAAGCATCTTGATCGCCACCATGTGGTTGGTTACAGTACAGGTCATAAATCCCACCTCGCCCATGGTAGTGGATGGTACATGAAAAAATGTACACTTCAAATAACTTTTTCTCAAAGATGTTTTCTAGGTAGTTCTCATCACTGATGTTTGAACGTTTGTTCATCACCTGATCTAGAATATATTATCAGTCTTTTGTTTCAGCATTTCAACAGTATTGTTAAGAAATATTTCACAGCGTCATGCAGCCAAATACCTTTTTATAAAACTGTTATTCTGATGTTTTATAGTGAGACTCTTTAAGACATTTAAAATCACACATTACTTTAGTATTTTCAAATGATGCACAACTGTTTATGAACAACAAATGTTTTGTAGTTTTACTTGATCATTTCCCCAAGTCAGTTAATCCCTAAATAAGATTTTAATAAAGCAATTCTCTGTACTTTGAGTACTGCTTTCAGCACTTTCTTAGATCCTTCTCCTTACGATTTATGAAATGTTCTTTTGGAGGAAAAGCTACGTCAGATGGAAACGAGTCAAAGCTGCTAGTTGATCAATATTTCCCAGTCTTTTTTCCATTTGATAAAAATCTGTCAGTAATGAGAAGTTGGTTGAGTCCTTTGCTGATCCAGATTTCAGCACTAAAAACCATATATGAAGGCTCATGTTGAGGAAAACACATTTGACTAATTGTAAGGACTCAGGTTTGATAATAATAATGTCAATTTTGTTGGTTATTTTGTCAGGAGGGGAAACTGCCCAGCCAGTGTTTGAAGGAAGGCCACTGCAAAGCCCTGCAGACGTCATTCTTTGAGTGCAAGAGGTCGATGGTAAGCCTGCGGTATACATCATATTCTGCTTCCTGCATGTTCTACCTAGATGTCACCCCTCACCTGAATGTTACGGACATCTACCTGTGGTTGTGAACACGTCTGACCCAGACAATCTCCTGCTGTGGCCTTCATATGTGAAAGACAAACTCTGGAAAACGTTTTGGACCTTTTACCAGAGTTCCTGTCTGAAAATGGCTGCAGAGATAATACAGGATTCATGTTTTCAACAAATACTGACCAGTCTGTCCTCTATCTACAGCTGGACACGAGGTCACGATTCAGAGGAAGGAAAGGATATTGAGGAACCAGTGAAATGCTGATGTTGCTGTGTGGTAGAGATTCCTGGATGAGCGACTGTAAATACATCTCTTGTTCACAGATCAGTGTACTTGAGATCAAATACACATCTGAAAGACAATTGTCTAAAAAGCAGATATCAAATTGGGACAACTAAACGTGAATGAAAAGTGGGCATCGACGCTCAAAAGATTCATCAACTCATCAGTACAACGCACTGACTGGAGCTTCCAGCATTTTGATTTCTTCTCTTAATGTTATTCTGGATGAATGAGTATGTGTGATGAAATAAATAAAACAGACTTTCTACTAAAATTTTAATGTCATGTCATTATATAAAAAGAAAACAGAATGAATTATACAATTCCCTGTGTATTAAAAACCTGTTATCAAAAATCATGGTGTCATCATAAAGTTGAATTAAAAATGAGTCTTTACAGCTTTAGGCAGTCTAAAGTTACAATATACAGTCAGTTAAAAGTTTAATTATCTGGCATCTACAGTTTGTTCCTTTAAAGATAGAAATATCTGCTGGTTTGTGAGACCAGACTGAGATATAACATGGACTAGGAGACATGGCGCGCTTCAAGTTGTCACTTCAAAGCCGCCATCATCATCTTCTCAAACTTCTTCATATCCACCTTCTTTATAATGAAAGCCTTATTCACAGACTTCAGGAGGCCCAAGGTATCGACGACCATCATGCCTCTGGTGTGCGTGCCCGTCAGCTCCACGCTAACTGCATAGTGGTTGCTCTCTGTGACGAACGAGTCGTCTACAGCGGCAGCCATGGCGTACGAGTCGCAGGACACGAACCCTGTGCCGGCGACAAACTCCTTCTTGAATCTGTCACTTTTTGAAACCTCCATGCTGTAGCGGAAGATCCGAGCCATGAAGCGAGCTTTGTCGGTGTCCTGTGCCAACCAGTCGTCGCAAAACTCCTGTAAATACCGTCAGAGACGTCAACGCTGAGAGCTGCGGCACTTCTCTGTTAAATTCTTAACAAGGTTTATGAGCTGTGATGTTTTCCTCTGTTATATTTGTTTGGCTTGTTTTTCAGCAGGATTACACAACAACTACTGAATGGATTCCTGCAAGAGTTGTTGGAAGGATGAGACACAGGCTTCGAGAGGACCTGGTTGATTTTGCCAGATAAGAGTGTTTCCCAGGGAAATGTGCAATTTGGTGCGGATCCAGATTTAGTGGATTTAAATGTGGTTTGAAAAGGATACAGTTGGGCCTTGGTAGAGGTAAATGTGTTATTGTAGTTACCAGTTAGTAATCTGTGTAAAAGAGTGAGCCTTACCCAGGACAGTTTGCTGTAGCAGGTAAACTCCCAGCAGGCCAAGTAAGTGGGACACTGATACTCGTTCAGTACGATGTAAGCAGCTTCTGGATCAGCAGCAAAATTAAACTCGGCACAAACTGTTATGTTTCCTCGAGCTGTGAAAACAAACCAAGACTCAGATGCTGCATTACAGCAAAACAAAGGGCAGACAGACGTCAAGGATTTGAACAGAGTCAACAGTCTCTTACTAACATTCAGTGTTTCCTCCCATGATGTAGAGCCCTCGCAGTTTACTCGGTAGAGACGGATCCAACCTCACAGCCAGAGCCAGGTTGGTGAGTGGTGCCGTGGCAACCAGAGACACCTGGGGAACAAACACAGATGTAACACGTGCAGGAAGTGGGTTTAAAAAAATAGAGCGTTGTCTCTATCACACTCTCACCTCTCCTGGGTTTTCATTGATGATCCTGATCATCGCTGACACGCCGCCCTCCTTCTGAACCAGGTCCAGACCGGGGGCGTTGGGGTCAGGAGCGTCTCCGAGCCCGTCCTGCCCGTGAAAGTGTCCCGCATCAATGGTGTTCCCGAGAACTGGCTTATCTGCACCTTTAAACACTGGAATCTGGCACATGAGAGGAGACGTGGTGGATAAAACTGGTTTTTACTGTGGAATAACCTCAATCAGACAAGCTACCTCGGTGTTGAAAACTATGAAAAATGCATTATTATGATGATTGTTATTAATATTATTAATATATATAAAGCTGGCAGTAGAGAGATGGGGAAT